TGAATTAGGGATGGGTTGGTTTAAGATTTAGGGTTGCAAATAGGCCAACCACTCCATCAAAAGGAGTGTGTGGCCACACACATGAGTGTGTGGCCGCACACCCGAGTGTATGGCCGCACACGTGAGTGTGTGGCCGCACACCCGAGTGTATGGCCGCACACCCGAGTGTATGGCCGCACACACGAGTGTGTGGCCGCACACCCACCCTCCAGCCACATACTCCCCCTTATATATAAGGAGACCCCCTTCACTCATTTCTTTCCTTTGGCTGCACTCTACTTTCTCTCACTACTTTCTCTCTCTAAAAACTTCATCCAAGAACACTCAAAAGGACCGCAAAAACATGAACTGCTCCATCATTCAACTTGTTATAGTGGTAAGACACCTGAATCTAAGCCTAAAACTCATAGTGTTTGTAACAACGTAAATTTTCAAAACAAAATTTTCATTTTTAAATCATACTTTCAATCACACGATAATCACAAAAACATAATGTATCCACTGTGTCATAACAAAACATGTCCCAGAATCTCAATAACATAAACTCCATAAGTGTGTACGGATCATGCCGACGCCTTCCCGCGATCCTCGCTGGTACCTGAAACACATAACATAACAACTGTAAGCATAAATGCTTAGTGAGTTCCCCAAAATACCACATACAACACATACGCCTTTCCAGGCCATAACTCTATAGGATCTTCCGATCCATGTGTCCCAGGGGACTTCCGTCCCGAATCCTGGTATACCTTCCGGTCCTACCCGTATCGACCTTCCGGTCCGTAACCTCTTGACCTTCCGGTCCATACCCTCTTGACCTTCCGGTCCTTATCGTACATAACATACATAACACATACATATCACATAACAACATACAACTCATACATCTCATAGCATATAAGACCTTCCGGTCACACATAGGTACCCTTCCAGGTACAGTATAGTGAGAAGACTCACCTCAATGAAGTCGGATAAACTCTCGTGCTCAACGTCCCGACCTAGCCTCCTCCTATTATTCAAATAACATTCCCGATCAATATTCTCTCATAGCCTCATCTCTACAGATTGGGTAGAAGGCCATTCCACCCTTCCCTGAACTCTCTTGAATCAGTCTTGACTAGAACCCTAAGGTCAACGAAAGTCAATGGTCAAACTTTGACCGACTCGTCGAGTGCATATGGGCGACTCGACGAGTCCATGCGGGTTCTCTGAATCCTTCTAGCCTCTCTTGGCTCGTCGGGTCATCGTCCCACTCGACGGGGTTACACCTGTCACGAATCGCGGGGCAACCCCGACTCGACTCGTCGAGTCCCATTATAGACTCGGCGAGTTGCATCCATGACAACACTGAAATGACCTTCTGAGGTCAGATCTACTTCTCTAACCTATAGATCTGGCCTTCCCAACCACTATAATCACGTAAAGGTCCGACCTTTACACTCATGCAATGTCCATAAAGCTCCTTTGGGTGAAATAACCTCTAGAATGGCAACCTAGGGTCATATCTCTAATGGAATAGCAAAAAGCAAGGTAGATAGGACTCTCTGGACCTCTTAAGGTCCAGATCTAAGAAGAACTCCACCTTGGGACCTCACATACTTCGAATCCAAGCCAAAGAAGGCATAAGAAAACCCTAGATTCAAGTAGATCACCAAATACACGAGATTGAGCACAGATTAGTACCTCTAGCAGCCTCTTCTGATCAAATGGGTGATAGATCTGAGCTCCTCAATCTTCCTTGTTTGTCCTCCTTCCTTCTTTCTTGCAAAATCACACTTAGAATGATGAATTAGCCCTCCTCTTGCACTACAAGCTTTCTCTCTGCTCTCTAGGGTTTCTCAGGGGTGCATTGGCCGCAAATGGAGGCCATAAAGGCCTTTAAATAGGGCACAGACCCCGAGAATTAGGGTTTCACTTTACAGAGCCGGACTCACCGAGTCCACGCATCGACTCGTCGAGTCCTTCATTAAATCAGACAAGAAATGCGCGCTCCTACTCGGCGAGTCTGAGCGCCTACTCGCCGAGTCCCTCCCTGAAATTCAAGATAAATACTCAAAATAAGATACCTGGGAATCCGGATATAACAGTGTTCTTCGTGTTCTTCATTCTTTGAAGGTGTACGGCCGCACACCTTCATAAGGTGGCCGTACACACCTTAAAGCTCTCCAAAGTGAAGAGTTTGGCCTTCATTCACTAGTAGGACTTGGTATTAGCACTAGAACATCTAAAAATCGACATTTCAGGCACAAATGAGGAGTGTACGGCCGCACACTCCTGTGTACGGCCGCACACACCCTCTGTACGGCCGCACACTCCTGTGTGTAACCGCACATACAGCCTGGCCGCACACCCTGGCCGCACACACACCCTAATGACCATACACCTCCTTTGTTTGATCACATAAGGTCCCGACAAGAATTTCCAAGTCTTTAGGGTGGTTTCCCGTCATGTTTTGCCATGGAATACCTAAATATAATACATATATGTGCTATTATATGTTACTAGGATCCACTTGAGTACGAAACCTCAATTGGCACTCAACACTCGTAACCGGTCATCCGCTCGAATCATCCGTCAAACAGTGAGTTCATACCCCTACATTTTCCGTGTTTTTAATGTTTTCAGGGGGGAATACAAGCCAAACGCTAAGTATTTTGTTAAAGTTTTAAACTTATTAATGCAGTCCAACGATTTCCACGTTTAATAACATATTCGGATATTTTATCTCTTTTTGTAATATGTTGAACATAAGGGAAACTTCTATTTGGGAAATACAACTTCATAGCTCTCAGAAAGGTTTTTACAAAGCATTTTCCATATCAACTCTAATAAACTATAATGGGTATAGTTTGGGATAACCCTCTAGGCAGTCTCTACTTAATCAGATTTCATAAATGAATATATATAAACTATGGTAGATTTAGTTTATGTTATATGTTTTCTCAAAAGTATAAAGTACATTTATTCAAGGATAATTACTGTTTTATACTGATTTCTCGCTAGTAAACTAGATTATACAGAATTATGAGGCGCTACTTCAATACTGTACCCTTAGGTGTATAGTGATAAATCCTTTTAATATAACCAGAGTCTCCTGGAGGGAGAGCGTGAGATTTGTGAATAGATCTATTCGGGACTGACAATCCCACACCTGAACTGCTAGCTACAGTTAGGCGGGCACGCCTGGGGTGAACAAATGTCATTTAGCTTAACGCCTGAAGAACGTTATAAAGGTCTCTCGGTTATATCAAGTATGGTTATACGACTCGCAAATAAGTATAAACTAACTTTGTTTACGGACTCTACCCTTCATGAGTTTTATTTTGAGTAATAAAACTACTTATATATATATATATATATATATATATATATATATATATATATATATAGATAGTATTCAGGGATTTCTAAACTGACATCTCTACCTCTAGGACGGATAACATGATTTCTAAAAACCTGATGGTTTATCTTTTACTAATAGATACTCTTTCAACACTACCTTTCATAAGAAAATATAGGATTTTCTTGAGGAACACTTTTCAAAAGAATCAAAGAACATTTTTCTCTAAAAACTAAATGCTTATGAACTCACCAGCTTTATGCTGATATTTTTCAAACTGCTTGTATTCTCAGGGAATTAGTAGACATGTATTTCCAGGAATTCGGTGAAGCCGGAGCAATAGGAGCCATGTTTTCTATATTATACATACTTTTGATGTATTTAAAACAAGTTTCAAAATGATGTAAACACTTTTCATATTTGTATTCAATGTTTGGTTGTGTTTACTATGCTTGCTATACAAATGTTGTGATACTACTCATGACGTCCTCCACCCCGGAACGATTCCGCCATCACGGTTTCGGGGTGTGACACTGTTCAAAACCGAATATCTGAAATTTCGGGTACGGATTCAGATATCAAATTAGATATCTAGAAATTTATCTTCTTTGTTTAGATCTACTTAAAATTTTTCATAAATATGGAATAAATTTAAAATAAAGTTGTATAAAAAGCATAGAACAAATATTTCAATGCATCATATAGAACATAAAAAATAGTTACTAGGAAACAACGTTCTTGATGAATAGCATTTATTCTTATCAATACTAAAATCCACCAGGCTACCACCATCAAGCAAAATGTAAATTAATATAAAGATCGAACATAAAAACCACCACCGCAACTCCCATGAATTTGTAGCATATGTAAACGAAAATCTAGATTACCCTAAATTAATATTGAACTAAAAAACTTACAAATCCTAAGAGTAGTGGGTATGGGCCGTGAAAGGATGCTGAGAGTCCTATGTGGCATGCCTTAACGCCGTTAAGAGCAAATGAACATAACCCGAGTCTCATGTTATCTTAAGGCATGTTGGTGTTATAATATATTGAAACGACTACTACTATTGGTTGCACACAGTCTCTCTCTCTCTTTCTCTCTCATAACACCATATTATAACATGCGAACATCGCCCCCACTTTATGTTATAACATTCTCTTAACACCATATTATAACATGTGAACATCGCCTCCACTTCATGTTATAAAATATTGAAATGTGAGATGACAATGTTTGGTGTTATAACATCCAACCCTCAGCGAACCCATACATTGCAGCCTAAACAAAAAACATAAAATATGTCAAAAGTGAAGATAGTGTCCAGGAGAAAATATGTTTTTGCTGCTATAAAATTGATACGGAACCCCAATCCTCTTAAACAAACATAAATATACTAAACTAATAATTTAATTTTAGGGTTTTCGATACTTGAAATATTTGAAAATATTAGAAAACGCTGTCCAAATTTGAATTCGAGAAATCGAATATCCGAATTTTAGGATAATTTCAAATCGGATTTCGGATATGGATATTTTTAAACACCACTCTTTTTTATGACTTATAGCTGTCCCGTACATTTAAAAAATATTTTTTTTTATCATTTTGTCGAACACTTATTTATATAAGGTTTTGACAATGTATAACCTAATCCATTTAATAAAAAAAAATCGTACCGGTGATAGTAAACTAAACCATTTTTGATGTGTCTGTGGGTGAACCCCTGGAAACGCCATCGAGGCGTCTACTAAATCAGCATCCGCAAATCCATTACAATCCACTGTGTGCACCATGGCTGCTCTCACCTTTGCTCACCACATCCTTTTCTCCAAACCCTCCGTCTTCCTTCATTCAACCAAAAATGGTTTCAACACCTTGTTTTCCGTCTCCGTCCCCGCACCTTTCCTTCGCCGATACAAATCCTCACAGACAATAGCAGCAGCTTCTTCACTCCTTGAACTTGGTGGAGTTAAAATTTCGAAAGAAGGTATTCTAATTAACCCCTCCTCATTCAATATTTGGGTACTCTTTATTTTTTTCTGCTTTCTAGGGCATATCATGTGCTGTGTAATTCACCATATCTTAGCTGAATGAATGCTTTCGTTTTGATTTGTTAAATTTTACATACACGTTGATTCAGGCGGATTGTATTGTTTTGATTGTGGAAAACTGAAGATTTCTTGTTTTGGGAGGTGTTTGGATTTGAGGTTTTACAGTTTCATGTGAATATGTGATATTTGATAGTCTGATAATCAGTTGACATACAATCTAGATAGTTCTTGGATGTGTTTTTTTACACATAAAATTGTAATTATAACTTTACAAATGTACCTTCATTTCATTTCTTCCATCCCCTTCTCATGCTGTGAATTTTAAAATCCATTAATGCTAGTCTTTTCATTTTTGTGATACAGATGTGGTTAAAGATGAACCAACAAATAATGTCCCTGATTTGATATTCACTAAACTTGGATTGCAACTTCATAGAAGAGATCATCATCCTCTTGGAATCTTGAAGAATGCAATATATGAGTATTTTGACACCAACTATAACAATCAGTTTCATAAGTTTGATGATCTCTGCCCCATTGTTACTACAAAAGAGGTAACAACTTTTTATGTGCATCTCCGGTTTTGATTTTTTTGATCCTCAATAATTAGAAAATCATAATCATTATAATCTATAAGTTTTTTGCAAACACTTAAAACTGATAAGCATACTTACTAGATATGTTTGATTATCTTTGTGTCAAGAAAGTGCATCTATGTTCCTATTTATAGTTCTGACTCTTTATTTTGTTACAAAATACTCATGACTATGTTATGAATGCCTGTTTAGAACTTTAACTACAAGTACATTGCTAGTTCTTGCATTTATCCCATATTTTTAATCATATCCATACCTATTTTCCCATAAATTTCTGCATACTTTTTAGCATAATGTAATATCATTGATGAAATCTTTATTGATGCAGAACTTTGATGAGGTGTTGGTGCCTTCTGATCATGTAAGTAGGAGTTACAATGATACATATTACATTGATTCAGAAACAGTGTTGAGGTGTCACACAAGTGCACATCAGGCTGATTTACTGAGAAAAGGGTATGCCAATTTTCTTGTTACTGGTGATGTTTATCGTAGAGACTCCATTGATTCAACTCATTACCCTGTATTTCATCAGGTATTTCATTTTTCTATAAAGCAACTATAATTAGTAAACAGGGTGTTACTTTATATGCTGTAGGACCCTACTTTTATTTCTTTCTATTAAAGCATTGTATTATGGGTAGTGATTCTGTATATGTATATGAGAATGTGTAGATGGAAGGAGTTAGAGTCTTTAGTCCAAATGATTGGAATGATTCTGGAATGGATGCTACTTTATATGCTGCACAGGATCTAAAAGCATGCCTCGAGGGTTTGGCACGCCACCTTTTTGGTAAGAAGTTAAATTCATAATCCAAATGAAATATAATATATTATATTCTTTGGTAAAATGATATAAAAGTAACCAAAAGAGTGAACATCTACTCATGAGGTGAATGTATTAGTAAAAAATGAAATATGGTTTTTGGAATTGAAGTCCATTTAAATATTCAGGTGCTGTTGAAATGCGGTGGGTTGACTCTTATTTTCCATTTACAAATCCATCTTTTGAACTCGAGATATATTTCCAGGTATGCTATTTTTTTGTATGCCATTTTTTTTTTTAAAATAAATTTATTAATGATTGAGTGATAATTTATAGGAGAAATGGTTGGAGGTTCTTGGATGTGGGGTGATGGAACAAGAAATATTGAAAAGAGGTGGGAAAAGTGATAATGTGGCTTGGGCTTTTGGGCTTGGATTGGAAAGATTAGCCATGGTCTTATTTGACATTCCAGATATTAGACTCTTTTGGTCAACCGATAAGCGATTCACATCTCAAGTAATTTATATACATTTACAATAAAGAATATATTTGTATAAATAAAAGTTCCGAAAAGTATTGAATTCTTTTCCGTTTTGATGCCAATCACATGCATGAAAGATTAAAGATTCTTTCAGATTCCAATTCCTATGACCAATTTCATTCTTTCTAAAAACATTCCACGAACCAATCACCCTCTCAACTTTTGAAGGATAAAAAATGGAAAATATCTTTTATATTTACTTTTCATGATTATATATAGTAATAGTTAGAAGAACCTAATGGAATTTTCATGATCTCCCCTTACCAATGCAGTTTACAAAAGGTCAACTTGGGATAAAATTCAAGCCATTCTCAAAGGTTTCTGCTTCACTTAATTTTCTTTTAGCAATATATGCAACAATCTTCCATTTTTAGAAACATCAGTTCTCGTACTTTTGTTAGATTAATAATAATTTAATATGTTTTAACACTTATTATTTTATTTTCAGTATCCACCTTGTTATAAAGACATGAGTTTCTGGATCAACGATTCGTTCACCGAAAACAATCTTTGTGAAATTGTTCGAGGTGTTGCTGGTGATCTTGCAGAGGAGGTGTAAATTATTTATTTATTTAATTATTTAGGAACATTATTTATCTAAAATGATATTCCATATTTGTTGGAATTATTGAACATTCATTTAGGTACAATTGATTGACAATTTCACCAACAAGAAAGGAATGACAAGTCATTGCTATCGGATCACTTATCGCTCCATGGAGCGCTCTCTTACAGATGAGGAAATAAACGAGTTACAGGTATCAATTTCTTTATTATAGCATCCTACCTTTATTTTTTTTTCTATTACATCATTAAACTATGCAAAATAATCTACCCAAATAAGAAAAAAAGTTGGAAGTATAATTTTACCTTTTTTTTGGATGTTGATGTAGTGGAATGTTCGAGATCAAGTCCAAAGCCAGATGAACATCGTTCTAAGATGATTTCCAATATGCCAAATGGAATTTTGTGAATACCTTCTATTTACAATAACATGTTTATGTTTTTATTTATTAATGAAGACATTCATATGTTGCATTATTACTTCCAATTTCAACATATGTAACCCTAGTTTTTTGTTTTTATCATCATAATAAAATAAACTACAACTTTTCTTTCATACAACAATTTGAATGATCTTTATGTATAATCCAATACACTTATTTTTGTTCATGTTAGAAAAAAAATGAAATTATACAAAAAAAACTTGGCCAACATTCAAAAGGCTCTCATGAGGAACATTAAAAATAACACTATTTTCCCTACATATCTTTCTCAAAAAAGCATACAAATAATCAATACAAATCTTCTTATAACACCCTGAATCTCTTCTCGCCTTCACAACCGTATTCCCCAAAATATGCACAACTCCGGCATCCCGACACCGCGTCAAAAACTCAATCTCCTCTCTCCCACCCCCACCGTGACTCGACGCCGTCTCCGTCCCCGTCTCACTCACCGTATCATCATCGGAAATTAAAATATCAACAACAGACGAAAACGTATTCTTATCAGATAAACCTGAAACATCTTGTTCATACAAACTGTATTCATCTGAATCCGAACTCCCATCCATCAACGACTCAAGTTTCACAAACAAAAATATACTATCCAGCAACTTCTTCTCAAATTCATCGTCCTTTTTCTGATCTTTATACCCATACCTCGCGACACACCGGAAAATATGGTAGTTCTTCGGTCCGATCCGTTTGACCAAAAACCGTTCGTCTTCCGGGACGGAATAAACCGGGAGAGACTTAACGCAGACGAAAGCCACCACCGTATGAATCGCCGGAAGATTCGTGATGAAATGTGAGAAGATCCGTGGGACGCCGCTTGCGAGCTCGGTGTACACGAGTCCGATTCCGGGGACGCGAACTAGCCCTAGACTTGGGCCGAGGTTAAGGATCCATCCCATTGAGATTTTGTTTTGCATTTCGAATTCGTACCTTTTGACTGTGCCGTAGTGCCAGACGTACATTATGAGGAGGAACACGGCGGCGATTGCTAGTGGGACCCATGCGCCTTGGTCGATTTTAATCAGGACTGCTGAGAAATAGGTGCATTCGACTATGAGGGATAGAAAGGTCATTATGAAGACGAGGAACCAGTTGCAGTGCCATACGAGGAGCATGATTAGGATCATCAGGAATGTTGTTACTAGCATCACTATTACCACTGCTGTGCCTTTTAACAAAGAGAATCGAATAGTATAAGAGGGTATTAATGTCTTTTGGGCTAAAAGTGTAATTTTTTTTTTGTCATGTTGATATGAGGATATGACTATTTTCGATGAGATAGGAGGGCATTTATGTAATTTATGTATTTTGTGTAAAAGGGATTGAGACGAGTTTTGGATGGTATAAAAAATTACAATTTTTGTCGTATTCAAGTCAATTCCAATACATTTATTACACAATAGAAACTTGGGTTGGGCTATGTTTATGACAAGAAGAGGAGGGCATTTACGTCAATTCCACATACATGAGATCGAGACCAAATTATTGCCCAACTTTTTGGGTGGGACAAAAGTAACCCCAACTTTTCTAAGCTATTTTTAAAGATGAGGATAGGAGGACATTTACGTCTAATGTGCAGGCAGAGATCTCTCCCATCTTTTTTGGTTGGACAAAAAATTGAAATTCCCGACCTTTTGGGTGGGCCCCAAAAGTGCAAATTTTGTACTATTGACATCAAACTCATTCTCAGTCAAAGTCAAACACAGTATAACATGTTATGTTCATTATAAATTATTGTCATAAAACTTACCATAAGCATTACCGATTTGGGTTTGATTTTTGAAACCAGTTGTTACAAGAATGCACAGAATCATGAGTGTCCAATTGATATCCGGAATGTATATCTGGCCAAGAAATTTTCTTGATGTATGAACGACTTTGACTCGAGGGAAACAACCGAGTGCACATGCTTGATTAATTATCGAAAATGTAGCAGATATTGACGCCTGACTTGCGACAATTGCAGATAGTGTTGCAATTACAAACATTGGCCAGTATACAGCTTCTGCAACATTTTAAGCAATGTATATTATTACATCAAATATTTGAACGTCATTTACAAGAAATGTTGCAAGGTCATTTACAATAGGGTTAACACCAAGAAAAGTCAATGTACTTTTATTGATTTGTGCATGGTTAAATGCAAAAAATACAAATGTTCTTCCATTAATTTGTTTAATATGGCATTGTACTTTCATTTTTTTTCCTATTACAACATTATGCCTTGAAAAATCTACAAAATTATAGCAATGTAATACAAATACAAAACAATTTTCACTCCTATAATTGGGTATCCTACTAAGAAAAAAATTGGATGTGTAGAAATTTATGGTGCATACCTTAGTAAAAAAAATTGGAAGTACAATATTGTAGAAAGAAATGGAAGTAGGAAGCTATAATGCACAAATAAATGAAGGTATATTGCTAAAACTTGCATTTAACCCTTTACTTTTTCCTTCCGTTTTTTTATGTTCTGGAATATTTTTTAATCATTATTTAAAAAACAAACCTGGAATAGAGTGGTAAAATGCATCAAACACTTGTTCCTTGTTTTTCATGAGGTAGGCTGCTTGTCCACAATAGGCTAACAGAAGGCAAGGGAACACAACTGTTGTAAATGCAATCTGGATTGCCGAAAGTGGATAATGAGCAAGATCAGCAAATAGTGCCTCCGTCCCTATCAAAAAATAGCAACATACTATAATTTGGTAGATTTTTTAAAGTACAATGCTGTAGTATATATATATATATATATATATATATATATATATATATATATATATATATATATATATATATATATATAAAATCACCTGTGATGCTCAACATGATTCCTCCAAGGGAAGTCCAACCATCTTTTCCTCTCCTTTTAAAGTACCAATATATATGCAAGGGGGAAAAGGCCCTCAACACAGTCTTGTCATGTTTTAAAATGTTATAAATTCCAATTCCTCCAATTAAAATAAACCAAAGCAATACAATTGGAGCAAATAGCCATCCAACTTTATCAGGACCATGATGTTGCAGGCAAAATAAACCAATCAGTATAAAAACAGCAACAACTACGATAAAATCTGCAATAAACAACAACTCATAAGCATATTATATGCAACTTACATTAAAGATTAGGTGAAAATAACAAATTTAAGATGAAATTATTTTCATACCATTATCCATCCCGGGGTGTGTTACCTTGATGCCACTAGAAGCCGATAAAACTGTTAAAATCATAAGGTTTGATTCAAGATTTTCGTTTAGGAAACATATGATAGATATAACTAATGGTAAATACTTAAACTGACATGCATAGATGAAGGTAAAATGGTCATGTACTCACATTCAGACAATTTACCGAGTCCAAAAAAAAGTGTTTATGTATACACCACTTTATCTAGACATATATCATTACTCATTCAACCACTACATCATACAGGACTTAGGGTTTTTCTGTTTTTGTTTTTGTTTTTTCTTTTCTTTTTTCGTTTAACTACTTTGTAGGTAAAATGGTTGGATATAAGTAATGATCTTTGTCTAGAGAAAACATAATATGGTGTATACACAAGGTCGCTTTATTTTCTAAACCGAATAAACTGTCTTGAATAAGACTAAATGACCACTTTAATCTTACATTCCAAAAAAAAAAAAAACAATTTTAACAATATTCATTGAAAAAAGAAGGGGCACAAATAGGTAAAAGGTTAGTGTCTTAATACATTAACCCATAAAATCATTTTGTGTAACTTAAATAAGAAAGAAACAACCATGTAAAACTGTTCAAATTAAATGCTTATCCCATTAAGCTCATGAAGTGGAAGAAAAAACAGCCCCTTAATAGGAAAAAAACTAATGGCACATAAAAAAACAACTTTTTACCTGAAATAGCAGGAGTTAGAATCCCATCTCCAATCACCATACAAGTGCCAACAAGTACAAGTACAAGAAGTGCATTCTTCTTTAATGCATGTGCTTCTAACCATTTCTTGGTTTTTTCAGCAAATGAGTTCTCATGTGTTGGGGTATAAATATAAGTAGTCAACTTTTCATCAGTCCGATGTTGATTCGGAATTGTACTAATTTTTGCATGTCGACACAATAGTGAGTAAAGAGCAAATGTTCCACCTAAGTAATGAATTAAAATTTCATACATGTTATTCACTAATTAAATATAACTTTAGAATTATTGTTCTATCTCTTGTTATTTTACAAGTATATAATGGAAAATAGAGAAGGGAAAATTGATTTGAAAAGCAATGTACTTTACTCTCACTACCAATATGAGCAATATAACTTATTTTTTTAAAATCAAAATAGCAATATACTTAGATCTTTTACCCATAATAGCAACATACTGATAGGCCCAAGGACGTCCATGTCTACAAAAGGGGAAGGAACAAACTACATCAACCCATTCCACCTTAGTCTTTTTCTGCAGCCCAGGCCTGTTTATTATTTCATCTGTTTTTGTCTTATTGTTATGTGGTCCTTTCCGTTTGTTATGCTCCTCCCCCACGATTTGTTCTGTGGGGATCTTGTTAATGGGGAGCAGGTCCTGTGGTTTATTCTGTTTGTCTCCAGCTGTCTTGTATATAGTGCTGGAGGGTCTTTTGTTTTTTCTTATGTTGAGATTAATGAAACCGTTCTTATGAACTTGGGAGAGCACCCACCTCTAGAATTGTGGGAATTTATCCTTTACGTTTGATTTCTTGTATGCAAGTTCAAGTCTAGGCTATCACATACTTATACATTTCTTTATTGATAATAGCAATGTACTTCATCTTTTACCGATAATAACAACATACTTATAAAAGTACATTGTTATTATGTGTATGGAATTGTAAGTACGTTGCTATAATATGTAAAGAAATGGAAGTAAATTGCCATTATGGCTTACATATTGCTATTATCAGTAAAAAAACAAATGCAAGTACATTGCTATTATGGGTCAGGAAAATGAAATACATGACTATTATGGATAAGAAATAAGATAGATTTCCTATATTGTAAAAAGAGTAGAGTAAGTTGCTATTTCCTGTAATTTTCCCAATAGAGAAGTAGGTGTACCTTGACCATTGTCGCTTGCACGACATACAATGAAGACATATTTGATGAGGGGCACAAGTGTAAGAGAGTATATGATTAAAGAAAGTGCACCAACAACGTCTTCAGTGTCATTGATTCCTTTAGGAAAAGTATTGTAAAATACATATAATGGAGAAGTTCCCAAATCTCCATAGACAACACCAAGACTCTGAAATGCAAGTCGCACAAGTAGCAATGTGGAACATTTCTGTATCAAAGGATAATATCAATAAGGGAAAATCGCAGAAAGTAGCTACATACTTTACTCTTTTTACCAATATAAGTAATGTAGTTTATTTTCTTTTCCCAATATCTTTTTTACCATCAAAGTCCACCCTTTGTATTTTTCTTTCTAGCTACTTGAATAAATAAATTATTTCAGCTTAGTTTTTAAGGGCAATCCTTCGATGATTTTGAAGTAATTTGTACTCCGGTAGTCCCATGAAAAATGACATGTTTAACTAGGCATGTAAGTCATTGATTAGTTGTTAAAATATCTCAAATGTCCTATAACAAAGAAAAATAATGGCACAATCAAATGATCAATGCTATAAATATTCTGTAAGATCACACTGGGGCAAAGATGAAAGGTTACCGTTTCTGTGTTCATCTGCTTGAGTCTGCTAGCTTCTTCATCCATGGGCTGATCAAATTTCTGCTGCAAAGCCCACATGCCACCTTTAGCTTCACTCTCCTCATTCATGGTCTTTTCCATCTCAATCAAATTCAGGCTGCCTGCACTCACAACAACCTATGTGGCTTCCCTCTAAAGTGCTCAACAATAGACAGCATCATCAACTCAAAAACAATTTAATCGAACTGAGCCCTAATTTCTCATTCAATCAAATTGACTAAAATCAACAAAATGGAACTCAATTTCATCACTCTCGGAAGTTAGATCCATCAACTCTCCCATTATGAAAAAAGGAACTCGTTCCTTCAAGAATATCCCAGTGTTCGGATCTAAAACCGAAAAAGTATTGAGGGCATCTCAAATTGGGACCTGAATGGATAACAATGACGAAGAATTACTGAGCAGAAGCAAGAAACCAGAGATGTAAGTCGTGTCGACGATGAAGAAGAACACGAAAAGGGACGAAATGGAGGGAATCGATACGATTTTTGATAATTGCGAGTTTAATTTGAATTTGGGGTTGATGCAGAAACGATTGTGTTAATCAGGAGATAGTTTAACATTTGACAGACCGAGAAAACCTGTTTGTTTCTCAATAACGCCTTGATTACTCAGAGAGGAGAATTCGACAGCACTCACGAAGAGAGATGGAAGCGATCGGTTTGATAATCATGAAAATTTTCATGCGACAGCGACACGTTCCATCAATCTCATGCAATCTATGCATGTTCTTCTTTTCAAAACAAACATAATATCTTTTAGAGTAAATTAAACTCTTGGTCCATATGGTTTTCCAGTTTTAACAATTTTGGTCTTTCTATTGTAATTTTAACATCACTAGTCCTTATTGGAGGTTTGAGTAACAATCATGTCTCAGTTAGGCTCCGTTAAACATTTCTAACTGATATATACAAAGTCAAATTTGCCCTTACTCTTCAAAGCCTTATACACGACGTGAACCTCAGAAGGGCAAAATCGCATGCAGTAATTGATAGTATGGCACCTGATACAACTACTTAAGTAGTCAAGTAGTCAACATGTAGATGATGGTCTGTCTTAATGAAGTGGTTGATAGTAAAGGTCCTAATGAAGTGGTTCATGATGGTCTTAATGAAGATGTGGTACATGATGGGCTTAAAGAAGATAGTTAAGTGGTACATAATGGGCTTAATGAAGATGATGGTGTTGGAGAAGGGAGGGTGATGATGTAGGGGATGGTCTTAATACACACAAGTCAAGCTCTTAATGATGATGAGGGTGTACATGCACAACTTGAGTTTAATGAGGGCTATTCAAATGATGTTCTATTTGATAAATTCCTAGTAAGGTGTTGATAAAAACGACCGGTTAAGGGTTGCAGGCTTTGAATATTTGTCCTCGAGCATAAAAGCCCAACCCTTTGATAAATTGTTTGCTTAGGTGTCATATAGTAGTGTAAAGGCAACACACTTAGTAGTGACTTAACGTTAAAGATTAGTTGCACATTTATTTACAAATTTGTACAAACCGAATACAAGAAAGGAAAAACAATAAACATAAACAAGTAAAAATGCATAACACTCTTAAATGTGACATTATTTAATTGTTGTTGGTGTTAGGCGTGTCAAACCCAACAAATAATAGGGGTACAACAGACTCCAAATACACTGCTTTAATGCACTAAAAAGGTAGTACAGGGAAAGCAGGGTCGAACCACAGAGACACAGGATAAAAGTCTATACCTCTTTGCGTAAGGTACTTTGGTCACAAAGGGGGGTTTGTTTGCAAAGGTCAAATAATGAAAATAACAATCAACTTTGAAACACGTAGAAAATGAAATAGATTTGTAAACAAGTTGTAAAAGTGCTGCCAGTTCTAGTTCTCAATGTTGTTGTTCAACTTGATTATGACTTGATGTAATTCAAGATTGCTATTCTAAGTTGGTACTGAAAGATATTAACACGCTCTAACACCTCTCGCTTGCCAAATTATCCAACCAAAACACGCTCTTTGACTAGACCTAGCTTTACTAATTCAATCTAAACACGCTCTTAGATTGTATTGAAAAACTGCATTAAGTTTTATACAAGCTTCCCAACAACGTTCATTTGTTCTCATACGTTCGGAAGTGTGAAAACATGTGATATATGTTTTACAATAAGAAAACTTATTGCTTGTTACCAATTATTAACTTAATAGAACGATTAGGTGCCCTAAAAGCTAATTAACTGCACAAAAATTCAATTCATGAAAGTGGCCAATCAAACACAAATCAAATTTAAGGGTTCTAGTTTAAACAAAAACATAATCACTAGAATAGAATCACAAATCAAACATCAAATCATATGCTTCAAGTCAAGCAATCAACATGTTTTGAACAAGAACTAGAAACTAGGGTTTCTTAGCCACACATGACTAAGAACAAATCACAAGAACAAAAGATGGAAAAATGTGTGATTACAACTTACAAAATGCTAGAATTAATGTTTCCAAATGATTATTGATCAATCCCTTGCAATAACCTTCGAATTCCCTTCTCAAAATATACTCTGATATGTTCTGTCTCTCTAAAAATGGCCCTTAACCCGTAATATGAAAGATAGGAAAAACTGCCAAAAGTTGGTTTCTGGGTCGAACACGGCCCGTGTTGGACATAGAGTAAAACTGACACGGCCCGTGTTCAGCATGGTCAACAGCTCCCATTTTGGTCAACACGACCCGTGTTGGACATAGAGTAAAACTGACACGGCCCGTGTTCAGCATGGTCAATAGCTCCCATTTTGATCAACACGGCCCGTGTTGATTTTTCAGTGTAAATCCAACATGGCCCGTGTACCCCTCTGACTCCGAATCCAAACTTGATTTTTCCAACTTTTTCGTTCTTCGCCCGGTCATCCCGAAATCTTCACCAATGCTTCCCGACACTTCCCAAAGCGCGTTCCAACCTCCGGTTTACCTGAAAAAGACATGAAAATGTGCAAATAAGGTTGTTCTAGAGACTAACATGAAATATGATGAAATGCAAGACAAATGAAGGACAATTATGCTAAATAGATGCATGAAATGGGACTAAAAGGTGTGCAAAAAGGTGCACAAATTGCACCTAACAAATCTCCCCAAGCTTAGACCTTTCTTGTCCCCAAGAAAGAACAAGAATCAAACAAAACATGACGATTTCTAGATGGCAAAAAGAAACATAGAGCAAAAAGGGACAGAAGGATCCTAAAGGCTAGGAATGAATGCATGCAATGAAAACCATGAAAAAGAAAAAAAAAATATGTACAAAAGCATTAAAGAAGCAAAATGTACCAAAAAAAGAAGTTTAAGACACAAGTAAATCATCTATATAAGTACGATCAGGCTTTACATCAATGTGACTCCAATCATTAATACCTAGGCAACCATCCTGCTTCCTTCCACATATCACAGAATCCCAAAGTGAGGAAGACCCGAAACGATGTAACCCAATAACCCAACCATAGTTTTATTTAAACTTCATACCTTAATTAGCTTTATAGGCGAAAATAACAGAGTCCGGATCTCATGTCCTTAAGACTAGATGGTCAAGAATCAGAATCGACGCATCCTTAAGAACCCGTCACGGCGAATCAGCTTTCGCTGAAACTGTGAGCCCACCCGAAGGGGCCCAACTCCTATGCTTTCACTTTTTCGAGAGCCACAAGTATCATATCACACAGTTCTTCATTCGCCAGATTTGACTTTGAGGCGACTTTTGATTTTTTTGATTGACTTGGATTTGTATCTTCATTTTCAGCTTGAATTCTTTAACCAACTTTTGAATTTCTGATAATTTCTTCGTTTTGGCACTTGAAATTCTGATTTGGGTACTGGATATGACAGTTGTACCCTTCCTTCTTTCTTAACTGTGTGGATCTGATACTTAAGCTCTCTAATACCGCGAGGGTAACGCGTGTCAACAAATAGGTCCGCATCTGTGGGTCCAGAGTTGTCGATAAAAATTCTTTTTAAACATTCAGAAGCAAATCATCCTAAAGCTGTTATTACCGCCCACAAAACGTTTCAGTATTCCATTTTTTTTATTATCTAAGTTGGGGTCTCGAGTTACGGTGTTTGGGTCCCCTAGTTATGATAGCTGATTCTACACTTCCGGTAACTATCCGGTCACCTCAGTATTTTTTTTTCATTTGAGTTCTCGATTTCCCACTTCATGGAGCTATTGTATGTAAAGAATGTCATCATCTCGTACTCCTTTTTTTTTGAAATGCATGCATGAATATGAAAATGCAGATGCATGAAAATAATGGAATGCGAAAACCTGATTTTTTTTAAATGCATGCATGAATATGAAATATGAAAATGCACCTAATGTACAACTGTACCCCCCCCCCCAAGCTTAAAGATAAGCATCGTCCCCGATGCTCGGAGAGGGCGGAACAACTTGTTACGGAGGAGGAGACGGGTGGTGCCCGGTTGGGTAAGAGTCCAAACAATCACAAGTGCACACAAATTGAATTTTTAAGCAAAATATGGACGATTAAAGATATGGAAAGAATTTACCGAATCGTTCTTGGAGTCTTGCAGTTGGTGGTGAGAACCTCCTCTTCAACCTCCCCAAGCTTGCCTACATGAAGTATCAAGCCCAAAAGCACAAAACAAATTGTGAAAATTTCGGACCTAGGGGTTCTTGGAAGAGAGAAATTGTTTTGGGGGTGAGTTATGGGTGTATGGGGTGATAAAAGCCGATTTTTTTATACTTAAAACACATTTGTTCTGCAGCACGAACACGACCCGTGTTCTTTTAGTGTAAAATCACACGGCCCGTGTTGGGGGTTTAAAATTCTGAAAATGGCTGAACACGGCCCGTGTTGGGCATAAGGGAAAAATGACACGGGCCGTGTACCCCTCTGACTGCGAAAATGTTTGCCTCGCTTGAACACGACCCGTGTTCAATATAAGGCAAAAATGAACACGGGTCGTGTACGGCTCTGTTTGCCACTTCCCACTTTTTGAACCCAAAAAAATCTCCTCTCATTCAAACGAAATGGTATTGCATCCCGAGGTCCGCTTGGTGATTTAAAAACATGCTTAAATGCATTTGGAACATTAAAAACCAAAAACTC